ATATATATATATATATACACATATACACACATACACATACATATATATACACACACATATACACATGCATATATATATACACACATATACACATACATATATGTATATATACACACATACACATACATATATATATACACACACATATATATGGAGTACGGAAAATATTGTACCTCTACTTGAGTATCCCAGTCCAGACTTTCATCTACAGTGACATTGGGATAATCAGGCCACACCTGTAACAGTTATAATATAAATATAATAATAATAATGATAGCACAAATGATTGCTACACAACATGCAAAATCTCTCTTTTTCAACACAGCAAATACTGAAGTATATATTGTTTAACCTTTTGTGAACAGTCATTCCTTCTTACCTTCCCCCACACAATGTCATCACTGATGGTTTGGGGCCATTTGATGAAAACATCTGCTGCTATCCCTCTCTCAAAAGCTGGATAGGGCTGGGTCTCATTACCTGAGATGGCGGGATCCTGGAATTGGAAATGCACAAGTCTTGTGTATTCAGTACATGAGAGAATGCAGATTTTCAGTAACATGTATCCTTTATAAAATGGAAATTACACTACATTTGACATTAGAGTCAATCAATTTTTTTTATTGTATTTACATCTGCCTTGTGGTTGCTAATGATTAAGCATTACTTCAATGTAAAGATCTCAATATCTCATTACCAGAATGAAGATGAATCTCATGCCCTCGTCTCTCATGCTATCAACCAGGGCAGGCAGTCCTTGAAAGTCTTTGTCCAGGACAAAGTTAAGCTGACGCTCCATGTAGTCAATGTCTGCATACTGCACATCCTGCAAAAGATGCCAATTGAAGCTTAAATTAAATTTTAGACTAACATTTTGTTGCATGTTCATTTTTGTGTACAGAGTTAGTAGATGCAATTACGTTTAAATTAAAGCTGTTTTTAAAAACACATTTCTTACTAAACCTCTAAACAGCTAAAACACTTTGGAAACAAATGATAATAATTATAATGAATAAATAATGATAATAACAACTGATAACTTTTCATACACAGGTGTCATATGCTGGGCTGTAGCGGATAAATATGTCAAATCGGCTGTGCTAATCTTATAATGCATGCTACACATGGGATGTAGGGGACGTGAGAGTTTTATTTGTTTCTGGGTCTCATTTCTTACAATGAAAATAACACTTGATCTGCTTTGGTTGCCTAAAATGTCTGTGGAAGATTAAAGCTGGCTCGTGTATAAAGCTAGCTGATGTGTAGCATTTTTAAGTATCTGAATTTTCTGCAATCCTTCATTCCACCTAATGATGCAGGAATCTTTTTGGTTGGTGTCAGCTTCTTGCAGGTTAGGGCTTTGTGAAAGCATATTCTGGGGATCACTTGATTATTGATGGAAAGTCTTGTGTTCTGTTCTGCATAATGAAGAGGATTCGGTTCTGGCCTGTTTCCTCATAGGACATCTTTGGCCAAAATGTTACCCTAATATGCACTTCAGTTTTCACTGTGAGGAAATGTGTAGTACAAACTGGAAATGTCTAGAGGCTGTGAAACATACAATTGATTGAATTTCAAATAAAATTATAGGTCACATTTGATTAGGTTAAACTGGATGTACCCAGTGTAATCCACAAAGTCCACGTCTCCATTTTTCTTCTCCCGAAAACCCAATTTCATGTAATTCAGTTACAGGTCACATACAATCATTATACTGCAAAAACATAGCTAGATACTGTGTTGGGTTTAGTTCTGTCTATTCCACTGAGTGTATGGCTCTGCACTATACAACCTACAATGGATAAGCTTTCAGGTTGCATTTGTCCAGATGAAACCAATGAAATAATTCCTTGTGCAGTTGCACTGACTGAATGAAATCAGACAAAAGCAGACAAATATACTGCTATGTAATTGAGCCACATGTTTTATAGGGAGTATAAGCATTGTGTCCTGCAGAAAGGTTCCTTAAGTTGTTTCACTTGCTCAGAAAGAGGTGTTTGGTTGGCAGGTGAATTTTTTAATTTATCAGAGAAAGAAGTTAAGAAACGTACAATTATTGTTTACCAATCTAAATAAATAAATATGGGATTGTCTTAGATTTCAAAATATATTGTCAAATATTGTCAGAACATAATAGTTTGACTATAGAGAAAGGGGCAAAGCACTCTTTGAAGAAACAGGATCACTTGGATCCAAAGCATTAGGCAGGTTTTTTCTATAAGAAACAAAAAAAGCATCTTCACCACAGATAAAGGATTTGCTAGATAAATTCAATCAGCAGCGCTACTGTCAAACGAACGCGGTCTAGTAACGGTCTCAGAGGATAAGTAGCAATCTCCAACCATTTCTCAAGAGAGAAAAAAGGTCAAACACCCAAGATGGACTAAATCATACTGAAATTGCACTGTGGATAATTGGAAAGAAGTTCTATTTACCAATAAATCCAAATTACAGAACCACATCAGTGTATGTAAGGGGACCAAAATGAGGTAAAATGATACTATGGTGTAGCAAACCCACAGTGCTACCAGTATTCAAGTGATGTAGGTATTTTGCCTACTGTTTAGTTGACATCTGGAACAGATCAGTTTTTTAAATATCTTTCTTAATTTATTCTCCTTCTTCCGCTTTTTTGTTATTATTTTGTATGTTTTTTGGTGTATAATAAGATTATTTTCATAATTTATTTCCTGAGGAAGATTCTACGTGTCAACCTATCTTGCTTCCTTTGGAAGGATCTTACGAACATACTTTTTCTGTTTCTCACATGTTATGTTAAATAAAAAATTTTTAAAAAGTCAAAAAAAGTCTTGTGTTTAATATAAACAAATATACGACTATACTCATGCGAACTTTCTTTGAATGATATTTTCTGAACTGCATTTAGTTTGCTGGTTTGGTGCTGTTCTTATGGTGATTTCAGACATCTCAAAAAAAATCTTTCAACAGGAACTTACATAGGGGATACCAGCTGTCTTCATTTCTGTGTATAGCGTTTCTATTTCCTTGTCATTTCTGTAACCATAGCGACAGAGCTGGAACCCAAGGGACCAATAGGCAGGTAGAACAGGTCGTCCAACCAACTGTTCAGAAGAAAGCAAACAAGGAAACCAAAACAGTTAAGCACAGGCAAAAGTTGTTTTGCAGGAAAACGGGACAGTGTCCATAAAGTGTTTGTTTGACTATTTGTGTCTGTGTGTGTGTGTATCACTGTGTGTGTGTGTGTGTGCATATGTGTGTTTAGATTGGCTAAATGAGAGAGCGCAATGAAGCGAAGAAGTCACAGCTGCTGCAGTCCATCAACAGCGGCCCAGGGCCAGACACAAAACACACAGGCGCACACAGGCACAAACAAACCACAAGTCCAAGAAGACTTACTTGAGTGTACTCCTGCACCACCATCTCAGGCGTCGGACCCATGACCACGTAGAAATCCAGGATGCCTCCCAGAGTTCGGTAGGTTAAAGCTGGACCAGGCAGTAAAGTCACATCTACAAACAAAGCACAAAAGAGATTTTTGTTACTTAGAAATTTACATGAAGCCTAGGTGTGTGTATGTGTGTGTGTGTTTCCACTATATATTTTAGTGTTTAAAGCATGCTTTCAAGAAAGGAGGGAGAAGATGCAAAAGTAACAAACGAAACATTTTATTTCATTTTGGTACAGTGTGTACTAGCATAAATAGCAGTGTACCGTAATGCCGACAAAAACTTTTAGTGAAGACATTTAGACTACAATATTTAGTCTAATAATCCAATAGGTTACAAGCACGATGTCACAGAAGGCATAACTATCCTCATGAGAAATGTGAGGACAGTTTGTGTGATGCATGTCCATTTGTGTTTCATGGGATGAATACAATAAACAGAGGCAGCGATGCGCTTACTACATTATGCAAATATCAAAGCAATTGTTCTCAAAACTTATAAGATGCAATAAATCATTAATTATTAAATGCTTACTTGCATACATAATTGAGCATGATTGTGTGTACATGTGAAAGTGAATGGATGCACTTAAATCTGGTGTATACGCATGACCTGGCAATAGTGTTCGTGCGTAAGTTCTGTGGGACTCTGTGCGTGTGTGTGTGCTTCTCTCACCCATAGCATTGCTGTTTAGCAGCAGCACACCGTGAGCATCAGCTGTATTCTCAAGACCCATATAGAAGGGATGGACTCCATAGCAATTCATCTTGTACTGTAGGAGAGAGACAAAAAAAGTAAGTATCAAGTTCACAGTGTGAAATGGGTGAATGCTGGTTAAGGAATTTCCCTGTGTGGTTTGTGCTAATGCTGAGTTGTGCACAACTTTGTTTTTTTTAGCACATTTCTTTTCACCTGACAGTACATTTCTAATTTTATTTATGGATATGACAGCAACCCAGCTATAATGGGCTTGCTCCCAGCACTCTCTGTATTCTGAAGTTTTCCCCAGAGAGAGTAAGAGAAACATATTCCTACAGCTATCTTCTATGTAAATTAACGTGCACCTAATAAAAGTTTTAAATATAAAGTTTGCATGCTAAGTAAAGGAGCCAGTTAATTATGAGAAGACTGTAGCTTGTTTGCTACCATACTATTCAATGCCAAGTTAGTGTTCCTTTAGTAAAAATCCAAGAGGTTCTCTTGTCTTCAGTGATTAGATTAGAATAGAACTAGTCAGACATGGCAAAGACAGACAGAAAGGTGGTGGGGGACAGGGAATCTGCCACTTTCAGATGTCACTATCCTGAGACTCATGGGCACGTTACACTCTATCAGCCTCTTACACTTCTGGTACATAAGAAGTTGTTGAATTGTAATACAGTGTCACTGAGGACCTGCTCTGCCTTTGTGTCACTTGTGTTTAGATGTGTGCCTCTTCTTGATAAGTGTGAGTGTGTCCTTATGGCCCTGGTACATAGTGTGATGGCTGTGGCTTAAGAAGGAGAAAGATAGTGAATTATCTAATGACCTAAGCCTTGTGGTCTCTCTCGACTACTCTGTCATAACAAATGTGCAGACACGGATTTTCATTCTGGAAACATTTACATGGACTCTAATAGTTCAATCATGGACACTCTTCAAAATAAAGCAACATTTGGGTTAACCAGTTTTTCAGGTGCCTTACAAAACATTTCTTTCAAATGTTCTGGATTTCTACATGCTTAATGACTGGAGATGCCCTCTCCACAGTATATTTTAACTCTGATATACCAAGGATTCAGCTATTATTTTAAGTGTTTCATTATCCATCTTTAAATTATTTGGCCTCCTCCCCAACTTTAATTTTCTTCCTCTCCAAGAAGCCCCATAACAGTTATCTGAACCCTGTGGTGTAATCTTAAAAGCTCAGCAATTACCCTTGATAATGGTGATGTGAACTATATCCTATCTGAACTTGAAATTGTGATGACAAACCTGATGACAAATGGTCATGTCAATGGAAACACAAATATCATTAATAAGAAAAAGAGAGAACTTTACATAGTCTAGAAAGTGGTTTACTCTTCACAATTTCTACAAGTCATATAACCTCCTAGGACCTGGCATCCACATATGTGGACATCACATTTTGGGTTATTTAGACCAAAATACTCAATTTTGCTCTACAAGGGCCTGATATCCACTTACGAGGACATTATACTGCTATTGTTCTATCAAAATTTTAAACGAATATCCTCATATGTGGCTCTTATTTTTCTTAAAAACAAAAATAAGGTAAAAATAAATCTGGTAATTCTTTGTTTTTACATTCATCGCGCCCCAATATGCCCAAATATCAAAGAGAAATTAAAAATGCATGACGTGGAAGAGTTGGGGTCTTAGGAGGTTAAAGATACTCACTGCATAACTTTTACATATGTCATAGCAAGCATAAAAATGGTTTCAATGAAACAATAAAACAAACATTATGTGTTTATGGTATACTTACACCAGGAGGCTGGTCCTTGGAGAACATACCCCAGGTATGATAGTTTAGATCGTGCTTATAAGTTTTATGCTCTGTTTCCCCAAAACCATAAACATACTGAGATGGCAGTCTAGTTGTCACTTGGATGAACATGTCTGAGAAGGTAAAACCTGGCACAGATGAATCCCAACTAGAAGAAAAGACAAGGAATTAAACCAATGAGAGACAAGAGAAAGAAAAGAGAAGGCGTGTGGTGGTTGTGGTAAGGAGTAGTCAAAGGTAGTAATTCACATTATGTTTAAATAAATAGGCATAAAGACCCATGGGGAACTGCAGGCACCCCCTCAACATAAATTTTATTTAGTAAAATTTCAGCTGACAGTTCCAAAAAAAACATTGGAGGTTTAACTACAAAATAATGTCACCCTTGCTTTGAGATATTCTTTGAATAGACTCCAAACCTGTGCTGCTTCATGTGACATCATCATGAATGCTGAACAAGCGGAAACAACTTCAGGCACTGATGGACTGAGAAACTTTCCTGAGCATATCTCATGTGACTGAGGGTTTGACTCAGCATTGTTACTTTCATCTTTTAGGATAAAAGAGTTTCTAGTTGAAATAGTTGAAATGGAAATTTTAACCTATTTTTGACTTTATTACTTGGTGGGACAATTTAGTATTATTTAAGAAAAACTGAGAATATCGATCTATCTATCTATGCTTTATCTATTTATGCTTTATTTAACAAATAAATACAAGTGTTGAAAACACATTTTAACACATGAAAAAAAAATTCCATTAAAGAAAAGCCTCAACATACCTAAAACTTTTGGATACTCACATTATAGTCCCAGTGCTATTCCTAATAATCTGGATGCCGAATGGGTACTGGACAATAGCGACCCTGTAAAGCCTATTGCTCTCTTCAGTCTCAGGAGTTGTAGGAACCGACAACTCCACTGGTACCTCATAGCGATCATCATTTGGGTCATAGATCTGCATGTGGAGGAATTGTTATTGCATCAATTTATGCACATCACTCATGAATCAATTATTGCCCCACTACATGAACAAAATAAATAAATAGGCACACACCTTGAATTGCAGCATGTCACTGCTGTGATATTTAATGTCAACACGGAGTGTGTCAATATCACGGGACTGTGGACGACCACTGCTCCTGTACTTTGTGTTCCGAATGATATCAATTGTCATCCCCTCATTACTTTCCCTTAATGATGTGACATTGTAACCATAGTCTTCTGGATAGATGCAATTTGGGGCACCTTCAATGGCAATTGGCTATGTAGGGAAAAAAGAAAACATAACGGAGCACTATGAAATAAAGTTTCAAGACTGACACCATCAAATCACCAAAAGGCTATATTTAAGTGTCAATTGTTAGGAAGGCAACAAATCAAATGTTCAAACTGAGATATTGTCATTGCATTTCTAATATGTGCCAACTTTGAATTTGATGCCAGCAACTGGTTTCAAAGAAGCTGGGTAAGTGTAAGTGTTTGGGCACTGATGATGCTCATTTACTGCAGTTTTGAAAGCAAAATGTTTATCCAAATATGCTTGATTTGGATTTTGGCTGGTCTGCATAGTAGTATTTGTCATATAATGAAAGCATTTGCACTTTTCATCATTTACCTTTAACACAGAATTCCAACTATTTGGCAGAAAAATAAAATGATATGTGTATGTTAGCCTACAACATGAGAAATTCAGTAGGCTACTTACATCCCAGATACAGCCTCTGGCCTCGCACTTAGCCTGATCTGCATTGTCCTCTGGATGACAGTTAATACGTAGTACTTTCCACTCTACCACATAGGTCTCCCCCAAGATCAAGTCAAGGTTCTGCAGGGTGAGCACCTGTGGATTGGATAAATTTTAAGTGTTTGTGCAGGGATTACAGAAGCCATTGAGAACAAAGCCCAGATCTGCCTGGCGATGTGACTGTATCATCTTTATGACACATCGGGATGTGGACAGCATCACTGCTGCTAGCACTGCTAAGGTTAGCCAAAGTGTCCACACTTTTTTTTTCTATTTTTTGTCTATTATGTCTATTTTTTTCTCTTCTTTACATCACTAACAAGTTAGTCACCAAGAACATCCCTAACATACAGTAAGAATGAAATGTTTAAAAATCAAATAAAGTAATCAAATAAAACACATTTTAGCTTCCAGGCTGACTTGTTTAATATTGATTTATATTTTAGTGTGTAAGAAACTAATGATCTTTAGCAGCTGTGAGCTATGTTCATTGGTCAGACTAGGCAAAAGGAGACTGATGAACATGACAAACCAGAATTTAGGTTTAACAACACAGATGCCTTTAACCCGCAGGAAATTATTACAACTCAGTGTCTTGTGATAAATGTAAGGTTGTGCCCATGACCAAGGAGACCTCAAGGATTTACACAAACACTGCCACAGCCACATATACTTGATAGTGTATGTACATGCAGTTACTTACACACACACACACACACACACACACACACACACACACACACAACAAATCTAAAAAGTACTGCTTAAAGAGTCTCTCGACACTTTACAGACTCTTGCCTTTTGCTCCTAACCCTGGGCACTTATTGTAGAATCATTGCTCTTAGTTGTTCATTTTCACTCTTTTTTTTTTATGATTTTCACCCAATGTAAATTGTTATCATTTGTTACACTTAGAGGCTAACCTTGAAGTGAACAATAATGGTTTCATTCCTGGTCAAACTGAAACAAATGACAGAAGTGTGGCTGCTGTAGAAGTCCTCCGTTCTGCATCAGTCATGCAATACTAGAGTCTGTGCTTTCTCATTATTATATTAATTCATTGATTGATAATATTGATATTGATTATTTCCATTAACTACTCACTAAATATATCTGTCATATATCTTGCTTGTTCGTGGACATTAGATTAGAGATTTTCTTTTTACTATTCATATATTTGATTTTTTTACTCAAAAAATGGCTTCTGCTGCTGCAGATCACCTATAGTCTGACAAAATCTACATTCACGTGTGTTATAAATAAAGACTGTGTGACAAACACAAACAAGAAAAAAACAATAAAGGTTGCTTCTTTTTTTTGCATAATTATGTCTAGAAACATGCTTGTGTTTACCTTCTTGGCTCCATCGTAGTCTATATTGTTGTTATCTAATATTGTAGTAGTGTTTGTAGCATCAACATGAGTCACAGAGACGGATACGGGAACAGTAGGTACCCCAAGGATAATAATGTTGTCAAACTTAAGGTTGTTTGGGTCATTGTAACCATTGTTGGTCACCTGCATCGTCAGTGTTCCCTACAAGACAGCAGACTATGACTATGACACAATCACATAATTTGACCTTCTAAAAATTATCCCAGATTTGCAAATTGCAAACACACAATAAGTTTAGTGCCATCCACCCCAGAGTAATGTAATGTAGCGTCATGTATACATTAAACATGCAATTTAGTCCTGTTTAAAGCATAAGAGTTTGATCCAGCAATACTTTAGCATCCCAACATTGGTCAACCATGAGTGGTAAAGTGGAATGAAAAAGTCAACATTCTTGGGTGGTTTTGAACTTTGGACTTAAGATCAGATTGAAAGAAATATGTTGGCTCAATTTGAAAAAAAAAAAAGATGTATGAACTTGTGAGGGAAAGTTACCTGGGTAACAGTGAACTTGTAGTGGATGTAGTTGCTATTCTTAACTGTGTCTGTAAAGAGAAGCACACGCAGAGCTTTATCTTTGTCACAGCACTTGAACACAAATGATGCATAGTTACACAGCAAAGTGTAACAGCTTCAGCTTGTTAATACGTGTGAGCTAACTGAAAGTGATTTAAGAGTCACACTGGCTAATATCCTTTTTTGTTCTCAAAAAGATAAGAACTTTCATTTGATGAAAAAAAATGTATCCAGAATCCAGTCAGTGGTAATAGCATTACACAACATACTAGCAAACAGACAAAAAAAAAAAAGGAGACAATACCTCGGGAATCCCCGTCATCCCAAAATAGCTCTCCAGCTGCGCTGTCATGGTCATCAAGAGCAATGATCAAACCCATGGGATTACGCCGACTAGTTAAATATACATAAACACACATAAAATTACAAATAGCGTTCACATGAATAAAACAAATGCACCAAATGTAAGAATACAACGTTTGCCATTATGTCCATGTTTGTGATAATCTGTGTGTGTGTGTGTGTCTGTGTGTGTACCTGTATGTTGTGGTGACATTAGGCTTCTGTGTTGGGAGGATTGCTCCACCCCTGATGTGTAATCCAAGCTTCTCTGCTGGTAGGTACATTTCAACATGCCTTTTGCGGTCTGCCACTTGTTCCATCTGATCAGAAGGATAGCAGAATAAAATATTAATTTAACTGAATTCCCTCTTGTGGGCAAAAGAATCTATGCGATGCAGACTGTTTTTCCTTTTTATTGAAAAATATAATTATTTTTATACCATACATATGTAGGGTATGTAATTTTAATTGCTTTTTACTTCATCGTATTTAATCAGAGTTCACTGATCTTTTAAATCAGTTAGTAATCATCAGTAATTGTTAATCAAACTCTAGTCTCATAAGCGAGGGGGGGGGGGGGTGTACTCACAAATGAGTATGTAAACACATGCAACAATTGTGAAGTGACCACCCTGTAATTTGCAAAAGACATCTGATTTGGAAACAAACTAACACTGGGCCTTTTGTGAGGGTGTTCTCCTGTCTCACCCTTGACAACAGGCTTTATGAAATCTGGATGTTAAACTGGCTTTCAAAATATTATAATGATAAACTTCACATTTCTCTCTGTCTCTTTCTCTTTAAACGTGTCCCTCCCTTCATCTCTGGTCCAGTTAGAGCTCAGCTGTTTGATCCCCCGAGGACTAAATCCTCAGAGCAGCCTAAAACTATTTAACAAAAAAAATCCCCATCTCTTCCTTTTCTCCTTTTTACTTACTTCCTTCACCGTGTCCTGTTTTCTCTCTTGTGATGCTCTAATTCTTTTTTTTTTTTATCCTGTTTCCTCCATTCCCACTGAGCTCTATGTGAGGGTGTGTCCGGGTGTGCATGTGTCTGTTTTTGTGTGTGCGTGTGTGTCATTTTACGCAGTACAATATGGGCGTGTGTGTGGGCTAGAGTTAGTGGAGCATCTATAAGCAATTTCAGATCTTTTCTCCCCCTCACTGTCTGCCTTAAGGAGGTCTTCTCTAGCCCTCTCTTCTCTTCCTCCTCTTAGTCTTGCAATCTTCCTCTTTTCTGCATACTGTAATTTTCATTTCTGTTGCCTCTTTCTCATCCTCTCTATTGTTTATGCTTTCCTCTGTCTCTGTGTAATTGCGCTACCCATCCTTTCCCCTTTCTTTTCATTCAACTCCCATCCCATCTGTTTTGTTCTCATCCGAGTGTTTCTCCAGTATTTCTTTGCTCTGTAACTTGTTTTTCATGGTCATTTTCACTACATCATTGCTCCCCCACCCTTCTATCCTCCTACCCAGATAATCACAGGGGACCAACCAGGACAAGGGGCCGGCAGTAAGACAGCCAATCTAATCGTTCATCTGATCAGTGGGCGCTTTACATCGCCACTGTGACGGCTAAATAAGGTCCCAAAGGAACTTAACACCTCTTTTATCTCTCTGTCAGGGAGATAGTCTCTCTCTTTTCTTCCTTCTCCCCTCTCTCGCTCTTTGTCCTCATTCCTACTCTGTCTTATCGCTTTAGTCTCTCAGTCTCAAACAACAACTTGAGGCATCAACTTTCATGTGACAGGTTGTGTTTTACATGTTTTTGTGACAAATGTAGCATGATAGTGA